AAATCTTACCGTCTCTTTTCCTTCAGGAGGTCTTCATGACTTTTGTGGAGTGCAGCATATTTGCTTTTTGCTTTCTCTTGATTCAATTCTAATTCCTGACAGGGGGTGACAGAGTTGTTAATAATTAAGATTGTTTAAATAAATTTTCTAAAAAAAAATGCACAGATAGGGATAAATACCACAATTTGCTCTTGCAGCTTTCTTTTCTCTACTTCAAACTCTTCTTTTAAAATTTTGTTTTTTGTTTGAGAATTCAGAAGTGTTTTATCAATCTCCTATCGGACCATGAAAAATGAATGTCAGTAGCCACTAGTGAAACATATACACGATAACATCCAAAAAAGTATACTTACAGCCAGTTTTGTAGTGTACAGTTCAGCTTCTCTGCCCATTTTTTCCCTTAACTGGAGATTATCCTGTTCCAATTCAATTAATCTTATATTTTGTTCTTTAACGATGCTCCCTTGCAACTGTATATTTTCCTTTTCTAATTCGTGGACTTTCCTTTCCACCTGGTGACAAAAGCAAACGATTCATAATACAGCTTTTGGTAGCACCACAAGTGAAAAATCTAACTTACCTGGATCTTTTGATCAGAATGAGGGACTTAATTGCCGCCATTAACACTTTTCATATTCTGTAAGAAAAAACAAAAGATTTTCAAAATTTTTTTTTAAAAAAAAGCAAATGGGGCGGCAAAGAAATACATGGGAAATCTTACATTCAGATGCAGCTGAATTTCAGCCAGCAAAAAGTCCTTGAGCTCTTGTACATGAGCCGTGTTCTCGTTTTGTAAAATTTTTGAAACCTATTTGAGAGACACCAAATTACTTGAGATGAAATGACAAATGTATCTATATTTTGAGATGTCATCACTCACTTTGGCAACTTCATCAGCAACTTTGTTTTCAATAAGAGTTGCAGTCTTCGCACTGCTGCATGCTGGACAATACCACGGAGATGGAAAGAGTGAAACTGAAAGCAAATTGCCAGTTGATTAATCCCTGGATTCCACAGAACCTTCTCAATGAATATTACTCATACCTTGTTTTTCAGTTAGTCCCAGACAGTCATAGTGAAACCATCCGTCACACTCATCACGACCTATCATGGGCCTGAAAAATTAATGAAATTAGCCCAGTTAGCCTTCTATTCAACCAGTTTTAAGTTCAAACAAGAAATTGATACATTGAGGTAGTGTAAACTCACCGCGCTCCTTGTGACTTTTTGCACAAACACAACATTTTGGACCACTTAGATTACATTACACAGCGAGACGAAATTTAAACTCGCAGTTCAGCGACCACCAAAAATTTGGGCGAACGGCCACCAGAGGGCTCTGTGGCGATAAAGCCTCACGAGGGGGCCTTCTCAGGGGGTCGGCGCACAAGTGTTACTCAAAGTCAATAGTCGCTCATGGGACACCCTTGAGTGCACCCTTTCATAAGTTGGACGACCGGAAGTTATCTGAAGCCCTAGTCAAAACGTGATGGCGGGGTGATCCATGTCTGGGTCAGACCATCAAATGAATTAAGATTCGTACGAGTACCTTTGCATTACGATTCAAATCGCAGGCTGCGAAGCCGCCGTTTACATTACATCTGGTGTCATTTGTTGTGGTATTTAGAGCGTGTCGGAACTTGCTCCGGTAGATCTACTCTGTAAGTCTTACGGTGAAAGGCTGCACCAACATATTATGGTGGGGGTTTTCTCCATAATACCAACAAAATTGGTTCAAATATCTATAAGGCACAGTAAATTCTCAATTGAGAATTCTATACCATTAGTGGTGTGTTACGAGGCCAGCTGCACCACCATAATATGGAACATTTTCACCATAATATGGAGAATCTTCTCTGAAGAACATTTAGAATGTTAACAACACTGCGAGAAAAGATCACGGTAAATCCTGTACTGATTACTCCAGACTTCACCGTACTTTTTTAACAGGCAATTCCGTCGTTTTTTTTACAGGCAATACCGTACTTTTTAATACAGGAAACACCGTACTTTTTTTACAGGTAATCCCGTACTTTTTTACCCGGCAATCCCGTACTTTTAATACCTATCAAAAACTGCTATAATTTTGTTTAGTCGGTTGACCCTCTTTTTCCAAGTTCCTGATGTACGCAACTGCTGAAGTCGGACTCCTGGACCCCCCTTCCGACCACTCGTTGGAAAGGTCTTGACGAGACCTATCGAAAGGTGCAATAAAATTTTTCAGTCGGTCGACCCCCTTTTTTCAAGATCCTGATGTGGACAATTCTTGGAAGCGGCCCTTGTTGGGACCAGACCTGGCCCTTCCTACGGCATGGACTGTACGGATGAACGGCAACTACTGTTAAAAGACTACGGAATATTTTGTAAAACAAGTACGGTAAATACTGTAGACTGTACGGTGGATACTGGTTTTTGAAGTACGGTAAAGTTTGGCAAAAAAATTATCCAGGATTTACCGTCATTTTTTCTCAGAGTGAAGGGATTTCTAGACCGGAAGTCAGTGGACGCCGGTGGCAGATCAAAACCAGACATCTTGGTAACAAGCTCATTCCTAGACCGGAAGTCAGCGGACGCGGGTGGCAGATCAAAACCATCTTGGTAACAGCCCTGCGGTGTCATCTGAATATAATTCGCCAATGCCATTGGTTTCTTGTTAAAAATTTGTAGCACTGGCGTGCCCTCGAGTCCAAGGGAGATTTTCGGTGATGATCTTCTGTCCAGGAATCCCGAAAGAGCGATCCGAAGGGTACTCATGAATCTTGAAACGGATTGGCATTCTTTTCTCTCTCCCTACATCTTCTGCGCGTGCGCAGAGGTTCCCCGACCACCAGGTGCGCACGCTTCGAAGCTGTTTTTAGGGCTAGCATTTGTTTTACCGTTTCAAGACTCAGAGGGTACTCCAATGATTCTTGCAACGTAAGAACAATAGTAAGCCCTTGGAACAGCTTCGACGCATGCGCACTTCATAGTGGAGGAATATTCTGCGCTGCGCATTGCACACCCGGCGTGCAGGAACGACTGAGCATGCGCGCAAGCTGGTTGAATAGCCCACTTCTGTTCTACTACCATTTCAAGATTCTTTGGAGTTCACTTTTGGCGTACCCCACTGTAAAACGTTACGGGATTGTGTAACCTTCCCTTGTGAAGGTGCCCCCATAGACACTTCTGGCAAGGCCTAAAGTGAAGATCAAGAGGAAGATCATAAGCCGAAAACAGCTGCCAAATGACGCTTGTTCACTGACTTTAAGCGTTATTCTGAATCCAAAATTTAAAGAAATTTTAAATTTATTATGGAATTTGGTTCAACCTGTCAAAATCCCTGGAAAAGGCAGAATTTTTGCACTGCTTCCGGTCTTCGTTCTTCTTCTTCTTCTTCTTACAATAAGGCCCTGCTAGAAGTGTTAATCAAGGGGCCGTTGCGGGTTTTCATTGACAATGTTATGCAGTTTTGGTCAATCTTTAACCTTTTCTCGGCATTTAGTGTGACGTTACGCGAAATTCCCTTATCGCGGCGTACCTTTGTTTTACTGCGTGTCTTCCTTCGTTGCGTTTTCAAAGTTAAGCGTGTCAAGAGCGTCGTTACGGTTGTGCTGATCTGCCCCCACCCCTCCAAACCTACTCCCCTCTGTTTCGCAGCGTTGCGCGGGCGGCATCCCATTTTCGCCTCACTACGACGTAACGCATTGAACAGGTTTCCCCCTTTCTCACCGAATTTTCAATGGACACTTTCAGTGCTCGACGAGTGAAGAACCAAAGTAATCCAAAAGCCGGAAACCCTGAGGAACCGTACCGACTGATTCCTTGCTTATAGATATAGTACTCCTAAGAAGCTGAGCTTCTAAGCTCTGGTTCGGAAGAAGAACAAAAACGGTAACGGAAGTGAAATTGCAGTTTCTATGAGAAATATACGCTGCGCATGATAGAACGCAGAGCAACTTTCTCATAGAAACTGCAATTTCTTTCTTCCGTTTTCGTTCTTCTTCTTCTTCCAAGCCAGAGCTTCTTTGGAGTACTCTATTACTTTTGTACCCTACTCGGTGACGAGTAAAAGATCTATTGCGTGTCCTCCAACTCATCACAACTCTCTTAAATCTTGAAACGGAAGATACAGGTCAAATAGAAGCTCTAAAAACAGAATCTGCGCATGCGCCGATGTTCCCCCACCACCCGTCGCGCATAGGCTGAAGCTGCTCTAGGGCTTACGGTTCATTTTCTTCCCTCCTCAGGTCCATTAGAGTATCCTAGTCCAGTAACCTGGCATCATGCTGAAACGAATGTGATGAAGTGTCACGTTTCTTGAAACACTGTGTCACATTCGCTGGCATGTAAATCGGCCATAACTTAAGCTTATTCACTTTCAGATCAAAGTGACTCAATTTTCAAAGAAATGTGGCATTCTGTCACAATTTGTTGGATTGCACACTCTAAATGTTCCACAGTAAAAATACTCCATATTACGGTGATAATGTTCCATATTATGGTGGTGCAGCTGACTTCGTATTATACCATTAAGAATTAGCTGTGCCTTGATGAATAAGGTACTTCGAAGAAAACCCGACCGGAAGTCAGCGACATGTCGGGTTAAACAAACGAGCGTCGCACGGCTGTGCTGAGCGGTGGTGGGGGCCGGGACGGGCAGAGTGGGGGCAGCGTGCGCGCGCCGCCTTTACCCCCTCTTGGCGGATTTCGACCCCCACCACCGCTCAGCACAGCCGCGCGACGCTCTTTTGTTTTTCCCGTTCTGTCACTGACTTCCGGTCGAGGTTCTCTCCGAAATACCCTATTTCGTTGGTATTATGGGGAAAATCTCCACCATAATATGTTGGTGCAGCCTTTCACTGTAAGACATCTACTGTGCAATCGGCCATATATTAGCGTATTCTTCTCCCAACGAAAGTAGCACAAGGCTCACAAACGTAACATTTTGCCACATGTGTCTCATGCGATGACACGTTCACGGAGTGAGTGTATTAATCTTTTTCTTTCTTGATTTTGCTCAGTTCCAGGTCCTCTCTATCGATTCAGCATGAACCGGTGTAATCGGGAACATCTTGTTCGGAAAATGGCTGATAAGGAGAGGTAACCAACTTTGTGTTCACTCCCCTCCCAGGAACGTGACATCACGTTGAAACGAACGTAACAAAATTTCACGCTCGTTTGAGCAGTGTGTCACATTCGTTTGGATTTGAATCAGCCAAAAATTAACTTGTTCACATTCAAACGATTGTAACGCAATGCTCAAACAAACGTGACATTTTGTCATGTTTGTTTCAACGTGATGTCACGTACTTAAATCAAGGTAGGTGTACGCCGGACAGTGTCTTGTAACAAGCTTCGCGATGCTGCACCAGTTACGACATTCCACGCCTGGTTTTTACACCTACCTTGGCCCGCGGCGCTGGCATGCCTTCGGCAGGCTCCTTCCCTTCCTGGACGGCACGAAAAGGGTCAGAATGGGTTCAATTTTCGTCATCAGCACCCTCAAAGACACAAGAAGTGACGTTACACTTGGTACGAAGTTGGAAGGCACTGAAAAGCTGACTTCTACTGCCGATTTTGAGCTAGTCTTTAAGGACTTTCAGAACTTTTTGCGGGCGTAAGCTGGTACCGTTGTTCCGGGCGGCGAGCACCAGCAGCTCAGACTTCTCTCTTTTAACAAGCGACAGTTTTGAAATGACTCATTTTCGATATAATTTGCATCCACGGAGAGATAATTATGGGGCACTGCCTAGTGCTCCCTCTTTAAAGCCTACGAAGCATTTACTTCATAACTAAAGAAAATGAAGGCGTTGTAGAATTGCTTCGTATTATGAAGAAATGCTTCGTATTGCGACGGATTTTGCTTCGGAATACGAAGCATTTCTTCGTAGATTTTACAATGCTTTCGTTTTCTTCGTATTACAAAGCGGTTCTTCGTGGAGTTTTTACTGTGCCCTCCGTCTCCCTTGTTTTCTGTTTCACATTTTTAATTTTTAATTATTTGTTTTAGAGCGCTCATCGCAAAGTACTACGATGAGGATGGTAATTTGGTCAAACGCCGTCGAACACGCCAGCAAGCCAAGCTGGCGTCCTGCGTCTCCAGCATTCAGGTAAGCAAGTTCACTGATTAAGTAACGTACCCTCAGGCAATGTTAGTAATGAATGGAATTTCATAAATCGTTGTTTAAAGCTACTACTTATAACTTAAGGGGGCAGTAGCTCTTTGTACAGTATTTTTCAATTATTCGCGAACTTTCTGTTTGGATGTCAATAAAAAACATTGGCATGAATGCTACAAACGAACGGCGGTGACCTTTTCAAAGTACAAACTTTTACAACATTTGTTAAGGAAAAATTCTTTGTTTTTGTGTTAAACTGGGGAGGGATATGAATCTCACTCTAAAGGTCTGCCAAATTACACATGGGAACGCACACGATGTCAGCCAAAGTTTTCAACTTTTTTTTGCAATCGGTGAAGTGCATAAGAAAGAGCATGAAATTGCGCACACAATGAACCGCAGGGGTCAAATTCGCACTAAACAAAACTGCCAGAAAGATGTCCTTTTGACAAGTTTTCTATTGAATAAGGTTTTCTCGTCCGATACTGATCTAGCAGCGCTTTCACCCGGTCTTGACTTGGTATTAAGTTCAATTTGTGGACAATTTTTTGCTCTTTGATGAGAGTGTGGTCAGAAAGCTCTCACTGAATTTGTTCCCACCTCCTGATGAAAACCTGTGTATTCATCACTTGTAAATGTCGGTAGTTTTATCTCAAATTGGTGAAAGTGGTCCTATCCTTCTTGAATGGGCGAGGTCAACAGATTGATTGTAAGGAAAATTAGCTTTGAAATTGTCGTCGTCGATTTAAGTTTCCACAGCGCACGTGCCGTTGTGTTGCAGGAGTTCGAGGCCAGCGAGATCCACACTCTCCCGGACGAGGTGCTGCTGCTGGTGTTCTCCCGCATGCAGTCTGCGGAGCTGCTTCCCCTCCGCCTGGTGTGCCCGCGATGGAACCAGCTCGTCCTCGACCCCACCGTGTGGCGGCGCCGGGAGATTGTCGTGAGCACAGGGTAAGATTTCGCCGGAAGAGGAAGCTCAAGAGGAAATCCCTGGGAATTTCAGCGTACAATTCCTATGAATTTCAGCCGAATTGCAGTCGAATTTTGAGGAATTTCATTTGAATTCCGAAGAATTTCAGTCGTATTTCGATGAATTTTATTAAATCTTAGTGAATTTTACATGTTTGATGGATTTTGGTGTACAAATTTGGCGGGAGTTACCATTTACTGTTGAAAATGTTCATGGACAATTTCTGTTCTCATCTTGAAAGAGTTTTGTTCGCAACGAAATTTGGTGACAAAATTGTTATCAAAGATAGTTTTGTCACCCATCAGCTGGTTGCAGTTTTGTGACTGGGCTTGTTAATGATAAAAAGGTTCTAGTGGGTAATTAGAATTGTCTACTGTTACAAGTCTGAATACACTTTCATTTGTTGAATCCTACTTTGCGAATTGAAGGTCCTCCAATTTGGTTTCGTCACAAAACCTTATCGGCCAGTTCAAACTCAAGCAGACCGCACCGAGAGTCGTTGTGTCTAAAGTTGTTGAAGAAAAACTACCTTTTTTTTCTCCCTTTGCTTTTTTTGCCACATCGTCATTGTTCTTCCTGAGGCGTTTAAACATTATTAGAATTGCTTTCATGATTTATTTTGTCCAAAAACACGTATTTTGAGCAAGCAACTTTCAAAATTTGTAGTTAACTCACAAAAATTGTGATACTTTTGTTACAGTTCACCATTATTAATTGGTGCAATTCGGCCAATCATTGTCTTGGTTCTTATTGGCATTGTTTGTATCCGTTTGTATCCCTCCACCGTGATCCGTAGTATATGCTATCAGCTCACACGCTTAGTTCCTTGCGAAGGAAGACTGCAATTATATCGAGGCATATCGAGGGGTCCTATTCAAAAGATCTTGTCTGCGCGTGCCACCCAGGAGAATCTTATTATAAGAGCAGGTGAATTTCTCTCAGCTTGACCATTTGGGACGGACACGAAAGTAAGCGCAATATATCACTACATGCACTTTTGTCTTTTTTTAAATCTTTTCTATTCAGATTTTAGTGAATTCAATCACCAATTATTTTGATTTGTGGCTGTCTCAAATGTTGAGACTGAGTGAAAGTTGCCTGCGTCTGAGATGAAATTCTCTTGGAGGGAACGCCCAGATAAGATCTTTTGAATAAGAATCCTCGATATGATGGTGCGAAAATCCTTCGAAATATAGATAAAAGGCGTTCGTAATTTCGTAATTTACAAAGAATTTAAATTTTTTTACGTTATGGAGCGAGCGCAGCTGACATCATACGAAGGTTTTGCACCACAATACTAAGTTTTGTTACAACCATACAAAGACTTACGATATTAGGCGTTCATTTTTGTTTTTGTCTGGAATATCTGCTTGCATTTTTTGTTTGCCTGTCTGTGAACAGTGATTGGAGCCCGCAGGTTCGGGGGGTTGGCTCTACAGACCTTCGCACCGCGGCCAGTGTCTTGTACGTCGCACCCAGCTGGAAACACTCGAGATTCCTCCCGTTCGTTATTTGCGAGGGGAGAAACTGATGATGGCGGCATTGTTGGAGGGAAGATGTCAGGTACGATCTAGAAATTGTTCTATTTACACTGTGCAAAAAAACCAGTGAATCCCTTTAAATTTTTTTTGCCGGGGTTTACTGTAGTTCAGTTCAGAACACAGCATTTACTGTGCCTGGCTACAGTATGAACTGTACCGGGTACAGGATATTCCGTACTCCACTGCTTTGGTACAGTAAATCCCGTACAAAATACAGTAGATCCTTTTAAAAAAGTACAGTAAATCCTGTACTCTGAACTACAGTGACAGCTGTACTAATCACTACAAGGTTTTACTGTGATTTTTCCCACAGTGTAGGGGGAAGTACACAGAAAAATCCTCTCAAAGCACTTTATTTGTAGCATCAAAGAAAGCGGCAGCCTCAGAGCTCACGAAGGGAATCGTTTGCAATACGAACGTTTTTAATGCCAACGAGGCTTCGTAGGCTACAAAGGGGGTTTTTCCCCGTGTCTTTCAAATCAAATAGATCTCACGACAACCGCCATTTTCTTTGTATTGCGAAGACGTTCTATGTAGGAATTTATCTGTATAATTTATGTAATTCGGTGCCAGCACAACCCGAAACATTGTTTCTTCTTGATACGGGTATTTTATAGTCTCGTTGTCTGTACACAGCTGTGGCAGTGTACCTAAAAGCATACATTTATAGGAGTATGACTAGAAATGCACTCAGCAATGGGGATGTGGTTTTAAATGGGTGAGATATCGAGGGGTCCTATTCAAAAGATCTTATCTGGGCGTTCCCCCAAGAGAATCTTATCTTAAACACAGGCGAATTTCTCTTAGTTTGATCATTTAACAGCTACATATCAATATAATTTGTGATTTCGTTCACGTAAATCTGATGATGGAAGATCGAAGAAACCAAAAGTACATGTAGAAATATATTCCGCTTACTGTCGTATTTATCCCAAATGATCAAAATGAGTAAAAGTTGCCTGCGTTTAAGATAGGATTTTCTTGGGGGAACGCTCAGATAAGATCTTTTGAATAGGACCCCTCGATATGTGCTAGGCCTAGCACACTCCTATAAATGTGTGCTTGTCTAAGCACACGCCCACAGATGTTGTCGAACCACACTCCTGTAGAGGTGTACTTCTTGAAGTATGCACAAAAAATATTTAAAGAAAAAAACGTTGTAATTTCTTGCTGGGATCTTGGAAGTATGCATTGAAGCTTCGTGGCACGTTGGACGCTGACAGCAAGCTGCTTGCAGATCAAGGGGTTGACCACTCAGCTCAGGAGTGTTCACAAGATTACTGATTACCAGTGATTACCTACAATCATACCAAAAAAAAAAAAACTCCATAATTTTGGCCAGCTAAGAGCATTGAGCTTTTTGGCCTAATTTCAAAAAACCCCCCAAAAATCCGATAAAAAAGGGGGAAACTAGCCAGTTTTGGTGTGTGATTACCAATGATTACTGGACGAAGTGTACACACGATTGATCCACGAAGCGGAAAAAGGGGTTAAGTCGAGTTGATTCAGTGACCTCTTATCAGTCTATCAAGTAAACATGAGCGAAAATTTGGTCCAAAAAAAAGTGTGGGGAGACACATCCCATCCTCTTGCATCTATTTTTAGATGACATTCCCCCCTGTTTTTTCCACCTGCAAGGTTTAGGCCTTGCAAAAGTGCACGGATTCAACTCGACTTATCCGCTTCTTCCGCTTCCTGGATCGATTACCAGAGTGGGTAACCCCTTGTTGCAGATGCGCTCCCTGACCTGCGACTTGGCGCTCCGTGTGGGCGCGGACGTCCACTCGGCGCTCTTCCGCAGACTGCAGCCGAGCCTCGTCGCGCTCGACGTGGGGCTGTCGCACGGCGCGTCGCAAGGCGGGAGTGGCATGGCCGCCATCAAGCGGCACCTGGCCAACGCCCTCGAGCTGCTCGACGACTCCCCACTGGAACGCCTGGCCCTGCGCGGGAGCCGCGGCTACTCCTACCCCATCAACCTCCAGCTGCAGGACTTCGAGTTCAAGAAGCTGGAGACGCTGCAGGTACGCGATCGGTTTCCTACATCCTCTCAGATCTTCTCGAGTGTTTCGACGTTTTCGCTACACTCTCAGCCTCTTACTGACTTTATCGTCAGTTTCTGTTAACTCAACAGTGTATTCATTACACTGTCTTAAGCGTGTACTCACACTGAAAATTGAATGGTCGGACACATGGCCCCAAATAAGGCGTGACAAAAAGTCACGCCACAAAAAGACGTGACACGAAATTCACACCGTTGAACCCGGCGTGAGGGGTGGGTCCCCTGTCATCTGGCGTGCACACTAAATGTTTATGTACAAATTTTTTACGAGACCTCACAGTTTTTTTTTGCACGCGAACTTTTCGTACAAATTTGTACGAAATTTTTCACAAAATGGAGAAATTTTTTGCAGTTTTTCGTACTAAAATTGTACGAAAAGTTCGTGTGCATTAAAAAATGTGATGTCTCTTACAAAATTGTACATAACATTTAGTTTGTGACTGTACCATGTGGATTGGTGCGTTCCATGCGTTTCACGAGAAAAGACATGCAACAAACCGGGATGGCAGGAAATTTTACGCCAAAACTTTGCGTGAACATCTGAGTCACGCCGATTTTTTGGGATGACTTTTCCATCGTGCCGTTTTTTGGGGTGGCACTAATTCACGCCCCTGCAGCGGCACGAAGTCACTCCGATAGATTTGCAGTGTACTAATATGAATATAAAAATTTCACTAGCGAAAAGCGCGTATTAATGTTGCACAAATTACTTGGGGGCCACTGATAGAATGTCAATACCATTTCCCCTAAAAGTCCCCACACTGTTAAAAAAATTCTGAAAATTCAGACCAATTTTGTCAGACTTGGCGGTCTGAATCTGTTAATCAGACTTAATTCTGAAAAATCAGAGTTTTTGTCTTAGTTCTTAAACGCTTTGTCTGAAAGCTTGGTTTTAACTCGAAGTGTCTTTAAAATTTTTACTCATTCTCAAAATTCATACGAACTTGCGTCAGACTTCTCAGACCTCAAGAGTCTGAAATTTTGGATTCAGACTACTTTCTGAAATAGTTCAAACATAAAAAGGGAAAAATTTGGGCAACTTTCTTCCAACCTAACATTGGGTTTAAATTTCCTTAAGATGCCATGGTGCCAAAAACCCAGCCAAAACCATGGCAGAAGTCGGAGGATTCCGAATCTGGTTTCGGATTTCTGACTCGACTCTCCGTCCCCCCACGAACACGTTTTCCCAAAAAAGTGATTTTGAGCAAACCGCAAAAATGCCAAACCTGGATCAGGGCCACATTTTGCAACAAAAGTGCCTTTTGGGGTGCGAAAAACCTTGGTGATTATTGATCAATCGTCCAAAAAAAAAAACCTTAATTCCTGTAAAAAATTTTTTCATTTAAAAAAAGTAAGTAGTTTATTCCTAGCTTGCTTAGGCCTTACAAAGAAAAATCAGTCTCACAAAAGTTTTTTAGCATACATAAGATTACAAAGAAAATATTCTGTAATTTTTCGAAGTATTTTTTTCGTATAAAAAAGTAAATTGGTTTGTACTATGTATGCTCAAAAAACTTCGTAAAGGGTTTTTGGGGCTTCCCCCCGGGGATGACGCAATCTTTCCGCGCCCCGTTGCCCCGTTGCAGAGCAGGTTCGTGTTCGCGTCCTGGAGCTCCCGCGGCGGCTGGAAGGAGAACGCCATCGTGATAGGTTCCCCGGGGCGTGTGCACGACGATGCGCACCTACCTGCCCGGCGTGTGGAGGCACGTCCTGAACCCCACCATCGGGCCCGACGGCCCCCTCCAGGGGGACTGCCCCATCCGCACGGTGAGGACCTGACTCCCATACTGCAAAAAAAGTGTGAATAGTGCAACAAAAGTACAACAAAAACTGTACAATAAAGTACAAAAAGGATTTACTGAGAATCCAAAAGCTATGTGTAAAGCGTCATTAGAATTGTCTACTGTTACAAGTCTGAATCACTTTCATTTGTTGAATCCTACTTTGCGAATTGAAGGTCCCCCAAATTTTGGGTTTCGTCACAAAACCTTATCGGCCAGTTAAAAACTCAAGCAGACCGCACCGAGAGTCGTTGTGTCTAAAGTTGTTGAAGAAAAACTCCCTTTTTTTTCTCCCTTTGCTTTTTTTCCCACATCGTCATTGTTCTTCCTGAGGCGTTTAAACATTATTAGAATTGCTTTCATGATTTATTTTTTTCAAAAACACGTATTTTAGCAAGCAACTTTAAAAATTTGTATTTAAACCCTCAAAAAAATTGTGATACTTTTGTTACAGTTCACCATTATTAATTGGTGCAATTCGGCCAATCATTGTCTTGGTTTTATTGGCATTGTTTGTATCCGTTTGTATCCCTCCACCGTGATCCGTAGTATATGCTATCAGCTCACACGCTTAGTTCCTTGCGAAGGAAGACTGCAATTATATCGAGGCATATCGAGGGGTCCTATTCAAAAGATCTTGTCTGCGCGTGCCACCCAGGAGAATCTTATTATAAGAGCAGGTGAATTTCTCTCAGCTTGACCATTTGGGACGGACACGAAAGCAAGCGCAATATATCACTACATGCACTTTTGTCTTTTTTTAAATCTTTTCTATTCAGATTTTAGTGAATTCAATCACCAATTATTTTGATTTGTGGCTGTCTCAAATGTTGAGACTGAGTGAAAGTTGCCTGCGTCTGAGATGAAATTCTCTTGGAGGGAACGCCCAGATAAGATCTTTTGAATAAGAATCCTCGATATGATGGTGCGAAAATCCTTCGAAATATAGATAAAAGGCGTTCGTAATTTCGTAATTTACAAAGAATTTGAATTTTTTACGTTATGGAGCGAGCGCAGCTGACATCATACGAAGGTTTTGCACCACAATACTAAGATTTTGTTACAACCATACAAAGACTTACGATATTAGGCGTTCATTTTTGTTTTTGTCTGGAATATCTGCTTGCATTTTTTGTTTGCCTGTCTGTGAACAGTGATTGGAGCCCGCAGGTTCGAGGGGTTGGCTCTACAGACCTTCGCACCGCGGCCAGTGTCTTGTACGTCGCACCCATGCTGGAAACACTCGAGATTCCTCCCGTTCGTTATTTGCGAGGGGAGAAACTGATGATGGCGGCATTGTTGGAGGGAAGATGTCAGGTACGATCTAGAAATTGTTCTATTTACACTGTGCGAAAAAACACAGTGAATCCCGTTAATTTTTTTGCCGGGGTTTACTGTAGTTCAGTTCAGAACACAGCATTTACTGTGCCTGGCTACAGTATGAACTGTACCTGGTACAGGATATTCCGTACTCCACTGCTTTGGTACAGTAAATCCCGTACAAAATACAGTAGATCCTGTTAAAAAGTACAGTAAATCCTGTACTCTGAACTACAGTGACAGCTGTACTAATCACTACAGGATTTACTGTGATTTTTCCCACAGTGTAGGGGGAAGTACACAGATAAATCCTCTCAAAGCACTTTATTTGTAGCATCAAAGAAAGCGGCAGCCTCAGAGCTCACGAAGGGAATCGTTTGCAATACGAACGTTTTTAATGCCAACGAGGCTTCGTAGGCTACGAAGGGGTTTTCCCTGTGTCTTTCAAATCGAAATAGATCTCACGACAACCGCCATTTTCTTTGTATTGCGAAGACGTTCTATGTAGGAATTTATCTGTATAATTTATGTAATTCGGTGCCAGCACAACCCGAAACATTGTTTCTTCTTGATACGGGTATTTTATAGTCTCGTTGTCTGTACACAGCTGTGGCAGTGTACCTAAAAGCATACATTTATAGGAGTATGACTAGAAATGCACTCAGCAATGGGGATGTGGTTTTAAATGGGTGAGATATCGAGGGGTCCTATTCAAAAGATCTTATCTGGGCGTTCCCCCAAGAGAATCTTATCTTAAACACAGGCGAATTTCTCTTAGTTTGATCATTTAACAGCTACATATCAATATAATTTGTGATTTCGTTCACGTAAATCTGATGATGGAAGATCGAAGAAACCAAAAGTACATGTAGAAATATATTCCGCTTACTGTCGTATTTATCCCAAATGATCAAAATGAGTAAAAGTTGCCTGCGTTTAAGATAGGATTTTCTTGGGGGAACGCTCAGATAAGATCTTTTGAATAGGACCCCTCGATATGTGCTAGGCCTAGCACACTCCTATAAATGTGTGCTTGTCTAAGCACACGCCCACAGATGTTGTCGAACCACACTCCTGTAGAGGTGTACTTCTTGAAGTATGCACAAAAAATATTTAAAGAAAAAAACGTTGTAATTTCTTGCTGGGATCTTGGAAGTATGCATTGAAGCTTCGTGGCACGTTGGACGCTGACAGCAAGCTGCTTGCAGATCAAGGGGTTGACCACTCAGCTCAGGAGTGTTCACAAGATTACTGATTACCAGTGATTACCTACAATCATACCAAAAAAAAAAAAAACTCCATAATTTTGGCCAGCTAAGAGCATTGAGCATTTTGGCCTAATTTCATAAGATACCCCCCAAAATCCGATAAAAACGGCGAAAGTAGCCAGTTTTGGTGTGTGATTACCAATGATTACTGGACGAAGTGTACACACGATTGATCCACGAAGCGGAAGAAGGGGTTAAGTCGAGTTGATTCAGTGACCTCTTATCAGTCTATCAAGTAAACATGAGCGAAAATTTGGTCCAAAAATAAGTGTGGTGAGACACATCCCATCCTCTTGCATCTATTTTTAGATGACATTCCCCACCTGTTCTTCCACCTGCAAGGTTTAGGCCTTGCAAAAGTGCACGGATTCAACTCGACTTATCCGCTTCTTCCGCTTCCTGGATCGATTACCAGAGTGGGTAACCCCTTGTTGCAGATGCGCTCCCTGACCTGCGACTTGGCGCTCCGTGTGGGCGCGGACGTCCACTCGGCGCTCTTCCGCAGACTGCAGCCGAGCCTCGTCGCGCTCGACGTGGGGCTGTCGCACGGCGCGTCGCAAGGCGGGAGTGGCATGGCCGCCATCAAGCGGCACCTGGCCAACGCCCTCGAGCTGCTCGACGACTCCCCACTGGAACGCCTGGCCCTGCGCGGGAGCCGCGGCTACTCCTACCCCATCAACCTCCAGCTGCAGGACTTCGAGTTCAAGAAGCTGGAGACGCTGCAGGTACGCGATCGGTTTCCTACATCCTCTCAGATCTTCTCGAGTGTTTCGACGTTTTCGCTACACTCTCAGCCTCTTACTGACTTTATCGTCAGTTTCTGTTAACTCAACAGTGTATTCATTACACTGTCTTAAGCGTGTACTCACACTGAAAATTGAATGGTCGGACACATGGCCAAAGTAAGGCGTGACAAAAAGTCACGCCACAAAATGACGTGACACGAAATTCACACCGTTGAACGGCGTGACGTGTGGGTCACGCTGTCATCTGGCGTGCACACTAAATGTTTATGTACAAATTTTGTACGAGACCTCACAGTTTTTTTTGCACGCGAACTTTTCGTACAAATTTGTACGAAATTTTGCACAAAATGGAGAATTTTGTGCAGTTTTTCGTACTAAAATTGTACGAAAAGTTCGTGTGCATTAAAAACTGTGATGTCTCTTACAAAATTGTACATAACATTTAGTTTGTGACTGTACCATGTGGATTGGTGCGTTCCATGCGTTTCACGAGAAAAGACATGCAACAAACCGGCATGGCAGGAAATTCACGCCAAAACTTTGCGTGAACATCTGAGTCACGCCGATTTTTGGCATGACTTTTCCATCGTGCCGTTTTTTGGCGTGGCACTAATTCACGCCCCTGCAGCGGCACGAAGTCACTCCGATAGATTTGCAGTGTACTAATATGAATATAAAAATTACACTAGCGAAAAGCGCGTATTAATGTTGCACAAATTACTTGGGGTGCCACTGATAGAATGTCAATACCATTTACACTAAAAGTCCCTAAGTTAAAAATTTTAAAAAAGACCCTTTTGAGCTTTGGGGGTTTAAGAAAAGATTAACGGAAAAAAGAATTTTTGCCCTTAGCCCGTTTAAACTTGGAATAATGCAAAATTTTTTTCTCTTTCTTATCCCTTCCCTTCCGCCCAAAACTGAAGGCAACTCTTTCGAAAAAAACTGAAAATTGGTTTTTCCCCCGGTTCCCCCAAGGAAAACTGCCCGACGGGGGCCCGTCCGCGGTTTCCCCCGGAACCCGGTCCGGGTGAACCGAAAGAAAAACCGGGGGTTTTGGGTGGGTGCGGCTGGGTTCGGCCCCCTTTTCGGCCCCCCCGAAGCGGCCGGGAAGCAGGGCCGGGGGCTCCCGCGCGCCCCCACCCTTTCCCCTTTCCCCCCGAAATCCCTTCCTCCTTGGAATTTCCCCCGCAATTAGGAGGGAAAAGGGGGGGAGGGAAGCCTTTGAAATTTTTTTGGCCCCAAGCCCACCTGAAATCTTGGAGTTGCTAAGGGGGTTGCTGGGGCCCGAAAAGGGGAAGTTTTAAACGGAAAATTTTTACGGGCTTAAATTTTCTTCAAAAGGGTCCCCCTTTTTCAGGGAAATTTTAAAGGATTTAATTTAAAAAGTAAAAATTTGAAGTTTTTAGAAAAAAAAACCTAAAAACCTTTCAAATTTAAGGGAAAGGGAATTTTCCCCCCGGCCCCCCCCTTTTTAAATTTTTGGGGTTTTAAAAAAACCCCTACGCGAAGTATTTGAACGTAAACTGATGTTCAGGGCATTTTTCACTTCTTTGGTTCATACTTGATAAACCGTGGCTTCAGTAAGATACTGGGACCATAACAAAATCACAAGCTGTTTTATTGTTTTAGACAGCATGTCAGTAAAATTTCAGGGAAATGGTAAAAATCCTGATGTTTTAGTGTCTTCTTTTCTGAAAAGCAACGTCAAAATAAATTTGTTGGGTCCCATATCTTGGTGATGCCACGCTTTATTGCATACGAGCCAAAGGCGTGAAAAATGTCCGGAACATTAGTTTATGTTGAAATACTTTGCGTAGGAGAATTATTTAAGATATTTCTAAAGTAGACTGAAAAAGCTCTCGACTGGATTTGAAGCAAGGTATTGAGCTCTAAATTTTTATTAGAGCGGCTCTATCTAGCATTAACCCTCCTCTGTTACTTGGCGAGGTGTGCAGTATTCACACACTGAAAATTTGTTGCCACTTTATGACAAAAACGTGGTTGATATTTCTATCACCTACAAATTATGACAATCTCACCACAAATTGATGACATTTTCATCAAAGCTCCTAAGCTCCTATACTCATTGCATGGGCGCGACAACAATGTCATCAATTGATTTGATTTGGTGACATTGTTGTAAGGAAAATTAGCCTTGAGATCGTCATCAAGTGACGACTCAAATTTTTTTCAGTGTAGGAGGCCCTTGGAAGGCCCTCGGCGCAAGGAAAATCTGCTCAGAGTGCTTTGTTCTATGAAGCTTCACAGTCGACGATGAATGTTGCAGGCTGCCGCCGTCAGTGGGCGTCTGGGCGGGAAGTAGCACTCATGCCAACTATTTGCTTGGCATGCGCGAGACAAGTCTCCGCAAGATCACTACCCTCCGACTGGACTTGAACCCCTGGGAGATTGGTGCCGTCACTCGCACCCTGAACTCTTTGCGTTCGCTGGAGGCTTTGCACCGTAAGTACTCGGGGAAAGTTCAGGGATGTTTTGTCAGGAATGTGAAGCAAGCAGGTGGCCGGAGCACCAAACATTGGCTCACTGTCATTCTGGGAACGTGACATCATGTTGAAACGCTCTGCAAACTACACTGCCAATCAAAGTGTGAGACAGTCTCACACTATTGCTCACACTTGTAAGCGTGAGACATCGTGGTTCACACTAAATAGTGTGAGACAGTCTCACACTTGGATTGGCAGTGTACAGTGTGTGCATGGCATTCACGTAACATTGTATGCCTCCAGGAACACTGTTCTGAAGTGTGTGCCTGCAGGCTGCAGGCTTACTGTTTTAAACATAGTGCTTGCCAGGCACACACTTGAACACAGTGTGCATGGAGGCATACATTTCAAAGTGGCACACACTTGCGTTTGTAGAGCGATGATGCCAAAATGTCACGTTCCGTTGAACATTGTGTCACATTCGTTTGGACGTTAATCAGCCAGTTGTTAGCTTATTCTCATTCAAACGAATGTGACTCAGTGCTGAAAGGAACGTAACATATTGTCACAATCGTTTCAACGTGATGACACGTCCGGAGAATGAGAGTGTAAGCTTTTGTCGATGTCAGGTCAAGGTTTGCCAATACTTTTGCATCCGAAACGGCTGGCCAATTTCGTGGCAAGCGAGTTTCAGTGTGCAAACTTGGTTTAATGCTTAGGTTGAAGTATTGTGTCTTGGTTTTACAGTTCCGTCGGGGACCATCTTTTGTTCGTCGTGGCAAGCCGTGGACCTCAGCAGATTGAACAAGATCTTCCTGTACGGATCTGGGTATTCTCAGAGCGACGTGACAACGTTAATCAAGAAGCGGTGGCCTCATGTCACGTATCGTCTTTTCCCTCTCATCGACCGCCGGCACAGGGACTTTCTCCTGCTCTGAGTGTGACAGCAGCGTCTCACTACTCTCGTCGTCTTGGTCGACTCTTCTGTGTCTTATATCAACATTCCAGCCACATTTAACCCTATTCGGCTGACTTGTTTTAGTGTGTAGTTGATTTAATCACGAATTTTGGCGATTTTCATGTGCATATAGCTTGATTTTAAGTTTTTAATCTTTTATTATTGACAAGATACAGTCAACTCTTGAAGCTTTTTTGTGAGTTCCAATGTGCATATCGCATATGCACAGGTATGCATATTTTTTGCCAGTTTCTCCCTTCTTTCTAATCTTATTTTAGAAATATTAGGATCGATACATTTGAAGCTTTTAACGTTTTCTTATTGGATGGATGTTGTTACCCTTTGAAGAAGCTTTAAGTGAGTTCCCTGTTTTGCACTCCGCCTATTTGTTTTCAGTTTTTCCTTTCATTCTAATCTTATTTTAGAAATATTCGGTGCGCCAAACCCACGGGTCTGCAACTGATGCTCATGCTCTTATTTGTAGTGACATTCATATCCGGCTCCTTGGCGTTCAGATAAAGTTGTGTTATCAGCAGTTCATGTGATTTGACTGGAGTGTAGAAACGTTAGGACACACCGGCCTATTTCAATGTCACATGCTAGGACTGTTGTATTTTATTTTTGTGACTATAAGAACTGTGACGTTCGTGCTGTGCGAATTCCTTTGCAAAGAACTGAATTTGACCTTTTCAACGTCATGTGAACCTTGAAACACGATCCAAAAGTACTAGAACCCTGATCTTATTTTTTGATTCTCCACCCGCTCCCATCGCAGCTCTTGTCTTCTTTGCTTTGCGGAAGAAAAACGATCTCAAATAACAGACAAAAGACACCAAATATTGATGCAAAATTTTGTACACGTAACCTGCACGGTTACGTGCAACCTCATTACTCAGTATTTCGCGTCATAACACTTCGCTACACACTAAATATTATGTACAATTTTGTACGAGACATTACAGTTTTTTGTGCAACTTTTCGTACAATTTTTGTACGAAAAACTGCACAAATTTCTCCTTTTTGTGCAAAATTTCGTACAAGTTTGTACGAAAAGTTCGTGTGCGTGCCCAAAATACCGCGATGTCTCGTACAAAATTTGTACAAAACCATTTAGTGGGAAGTGTTGAATACGAATGAATAATTAATGGAAAACGGAGAGCAGCTCGGGAGGTCAAGTTACTCTGCAAACTCAACAGAGTACTCAGTACACTCTCTTCAGCGTGAACGGACGAGTATACTTTCTTCAGCGTGTGCTCGCGAACACACTCCCACGAGCGTGTACTCAACAGCATATATTTCTAGGATTTGAGCACACTCTCGTTAGAGTGTACTTGCGAGTACACGCTGAACAAAGTGTGCTGAGCACACTGTTGAGTTTGCAGAGCAGAGTACTATACGTCATCAGCAGACCGTGTCTTCGTAGCGGGTTCTCCGATGCTTCGCCAGGTGCGCCAATTCATTCCGTACCTGGATCTAGCTTGCAGATCCAACCTGCCTCCCTCCAGCTGGCTTCTTGGACAACAATCGGCATGCGAATGGAAGTGGATTCCTGAGGGTTCCTCCATACGTTTTGAGGCTTCGCCATTCCTCAGAGAATTAGCCCATAATGCATGTGACTATGAAACTGGCCGATGCCAACACGAAGCTGCAGAGACCTGCCGCATTTCGAAAATTTGACCACCGTTCGTCACACTAGAAAGTTCTCGAGCCTGCCTCAGGCTGGCCCAGACTGCTTGGGTAGCCCCAGCCTCTGACTTTAAGGCAGCATTGCTTATACGAGATTTCAGACCATTTTTGAGCCTGGCGTCCTTAGTGTGCCAGTTCTCTTGGTCCGGGCTCATGTTGTCAAACCTTATCAGGAACGTCTGATGCGATGCCATAGATTATTGGCCTATCGCGCATGTGCACATGATCCGCTCAACTGTTATTCTTCTTTCAGAGGTTAGTGTTCCTCCAAACCTCACCAAGATGGTTTCCTCTGGAGCAGGCTGTCGGCTTCTGGCACTACTCTTGGCAGTACTTATGGGTGAATACTGTTGAGATACTGATGTTCTTAGCCACACCCTGCGCTTGCGGTCCCCACTGTGGCAAAAAGCTACGGAAAATTCTGTAAACACCTTGCGGTAATTCTCCGTACTCTAGAAACTGAAGAGAGTGCATGGCATGCTCCCCCAGGGAGTATGCCACAAAGCACGCTCCATCCTGGAGTGTGCTTGCAAGCACACTCTTCCCAGGATCATGCTTGGCAAGCACGCTCTACGGAGGAGCATGCTTCCAAGCACACTCCAGGATAAAGCGTGCTGCGTCGCTGTTGCAAGGCCCATATGATCGAAGAGGCACGCCTTAATCCTGGAGTGTGCTTTGAAGCATGCTCCTCCGTAGAGTGTGCTTGCCATGCATGCTCCTCCGTAGAGTGTGCTTGCCATGCATGCTCCTCCGTAGAGTGTGCTTGCCAAGCATGCTCCTCCGTAGAGTGTGCTCGCAAGCACACTCCAGAATGGAGCGTGCTTTGTGGCATATACTCCCTGGGGGAGCATGCCATGCACACTCTTCAGTTTCTAGAGTAGCCCCCTTGTCAATGTTATCCGTAGGCTCTTACAGTATTATCCGTAGGCTTTTACAGTATTCTCTGTAGGACCTTACAGTGATCTCCGTAGGACGATCAGTCTTCCAGGTCCTACGGAGAAGACTGTACGGCCCTACGGAGAATTCTGTACGGCCCTACGGAGAATACTGGAAGAGCCTACGGAGAATATTGAAAAGAGGGCTACGGAGAATCCTAACAAAAAATTAACAGCATTTTCCGTACCTTTTTGCCACAGTCCCCCCCCCCGTAAATAACCCAGCACTTTCCCTTCCCCGCACCCTCTTTGTCCCGGTCCCCCCCCCAACTATTCCCTCGTACTCCCTCGCACCGATCGCCTACTGCTGTGCTCCAATAAACCAGCTGACTGTTTCTGAGTGTCTGATTCCCGCCATCCCGAACCACAACAATAAGCACTTAGTGTTTAGAAATTTGTGCGTAAAACTTGCACGATTTTGTTTATAGGTGGAACTCGCATAATATTATGCTTAAAAATTAATAAATTTATGGAAGTTTGAGCACAATTTTATCCAAAACGTGACACAGGTTTAAAATCATGCAGCAGCGCGTATGAAATTAGCATTTAGCATTTAGCGTGCAAGGCCTCGGCTTACAACTTGTATACAGAGAAAATGCACTTCAAAGGAGAATAGATCGGCTTCAAAATGTTACATTAACAGTTTCTGTTAACCGAATCTAATTAAATCACCACTAGCTATACTGAAAACTCAAAAGTGAGACATAAAGCGGCTATAAGTCAGAAAAAAATTCTCACTGTTGTGGTGAAAATCAAAATTCTCACCTCATTAGCAGTGAAAATCAGAATTATCGCCATGAAGTGGTGAGAAATTCTTAACACTTCATATGGCTTGCAAGAACTTTTCATGCCAAAATTTGGTGAGAACTTTGCTTCTTACCACAAGACGGTAAGAAATATTTCTCGCCAAATTTGGGTCGCGATTATCTCCCTTTAGTTTTCAATGTGCAATTTCCTGAACATGCCACTAACTCGGTAAACCCCGCAGGCGCTGCGCGTGCCTGCGACGATGACCATTTCACTTGCGACAACGGTCAGTGCACGATGCCGTATCTGATCTGTGACGGAGTCACCGACTGTGATGATGGAAGCGACGAAAAGCCTGGAAAATGTGACAGTGGTGAGTGCTGTTTGAATAGTCCTAAACTCAAGTTCGGTGGCAGGCAGGATACTTTGTGTTTACGGTGCGGCGTTGTCACACACACTAAATGTTTTTGTACAAATTTTGTACGAGACATCACAGTTTTTTGTGCACACGAACTAAGGGAGGGTGGGGCACCATGACCACTGGGGTACCATGACCACCCCCCTCGCTCTCGGGAACTACTTTGACGACGGCAACCGGTCGACCGGACTTTCGAGAGAATAGAATTCTAACTATTTTCAGCCAGAGCCCTACCTTCTAGCTTCAAGGGCACGACCATAGCACCTCGCCAAAATTTTTGTTACAGCGTTTTGGCTAAATTGGGCGTATTCCAAATCTGAGATATTTTTTCTCACTCTCACATTTGATGAGATAAGTTCGATGTCTTAGGTTTTTCTCAAAATGTCGGCTCTCCGGCAAAATATCCAACATCACATTTAATTCTAAGTAGCTTTTTGCTTGCTCGGGGAGCCTCAGAGTCGTAAACTGCATTGTGGGGAGCCATGACCACTTTATAGTGGGGCACCATAACCATACATATTTGAGTGTTTTTTCTCATATTTTGGCCTGATAATGATTTATTTTCGTCGAAAATTTGCTGTTTGCTTTTGAGAATGTATAAAGGTTAAATAATTGCTACAGAATAGATAGTTTTATCACAAATCGTGAATCACCAGGATGATTAAGAATGATTTTGAAACTGAGACTTGAAATGGTAGTTTCTCTTGCACTAAATGAGCTCCAAACCGCAAAAATTGGCCGCGAAGGCGATCCGTGGCTACTTTGCACCAAGATGGCTCTGGCATTATGAGAAACATTATTTAATTCACTTGTTTGCAGTGTAGTAACCGCGATAAATTTCTTAAAATTTACCAAATTGAAATCTGCATACGACTTTGGATTCGTCTTAGCAAGACAAACATAAAATGTTAACACATGTCATAGCTTTGGATGTGAAATTTGAAAGCCTTAGAGCGTTAACTGTTTTAAACCGTCCATTTTAAGGCATCTCAGAACGTTTGATACTTCGAAGGTTTTTACAGTGTTTTTTTGGTTAAGTTGACTGGCTTGATCGTAAGGACAGCGATATAAACAATTTCAATGAGAATACTGGTAGAAAGTACACTTTTTTGGGCCAAAAAATTACTATGGTCATGGTGCCCCACGGGGTGGTCATGGTACCCCATAGGTGGGGCGCCATGACCACTTTGCGTTTTATTTTCCTAAGTGTTCTGTGAGCCTGCCGTGCATTGCAGACAAGTTCCAATGGGTGGAAGAGGTCCTTGGAGGACCAAAGAATCCCCTCATGCTGGAAACTTAACTTTTCGAACCACACGGTGAAGTAGAGGGAGGTACAAACAAGAAGTAAAGAAAAAAAGTTTAAAGGATGGTGCGAAATATCAATGAATTGATATTAAATAAATAACTCGTTCTTTACACATTTTTTTTGTGAATGAAGGATGTCTAGTGGTTTTCAAAAGTGGCCAGGTGGTTAAATAATTGTTAAGCTCGAAATGAAAGTACGTTCAAACTCTACCGCCATTACAGTAGTTCGTTTGAAATCCGCGTGGTGGCGCCACGGGTCGCCGATGTTAGCGGCAGGCCGTCCAAAGGAAGGTTGAAAAACTGCAGATATTTTAAATGTTTGTTTGCTAAGAGAGATAATCCTCAAATGAAAAATGTTAAACAAAGCACAGGGAGGTGGATTTTTGCTATGGCACATGCCAATTCGATATGAATCACGCAAAAACGAAGTGTTATAACCTCTCATTACTAGACACCAGCCAGTTTTAATAAACATTTTCAATCTTCATTTGCTCAAAAACTTTCATAGTGAAATGAAAAATACTTCATTTACGCCTTAAAGAGGAGGCTTTGATCTTTCAAATGAGTACATTACATATGGTTTTCCTTGTGTGCATAGCGAGTTGAATCATGTAGCTAACAAAAACCGATTTTGAGCACAATACTCGTTCTCTTCACATTAACCTAAATTTTGAAATGAGGGTGTAAAGAACGAGTAAAAAAAGGTGGTCATGGTTCCCCACCCTCCCTTATTCGTACTAATTAGTACAAAATTTTGTGCAGTTTTGTACAAAAATGTGCAGTTTTTCGCACGAAAATTGTACGAAAATTTCGTGCGCACAAAAAAACAAGCAAAAAACTGTGATGTCTCGTACGTAAGTGTGCACTAAATTACAACACAGTAAACTTCTTATGGATACCTCGTAACCGTAGACCGGTTTGAAGGAAATGTCACATTCCTTTTCTACGTGACTCGGCTCGGCAGGGATCCTTAACTTAACTTGATATTTAACTAACACTGCTTTCATAACGTAACAAACAATGTTCGCTAAAGGTTAAGGGTACGGACTTATGAAAGTACTTGCAGAAGTATATCCACACAAATTCGAGACATAAAAAAAAACCTACCCTTTTGAAAAGATGTTAGAAGTTAAGGGTAGTAACTTTAACTCTTATGATAACGTTATGATGCCCTTATGAGGTAAGTTAAGGATCCCTGCGGCTCGGCCTTGCAGTGCCACGAGTCGCATTCAAACGAATGTGACACGATCGCGAAGGCTGTCAAAACACGTAGACACTCTACAAACTGAAGTGTGTACTCAGTATGCATCTACAGATGCATACCTAGCTGAGCATCTAGATGCTTTCTTGGTTGAGTACACATCTACAGATGCATACCTGTCAAGTATGCATCTGTAGATGTGTACTCAGCCAAGTATGCATCTTTAGATGTGTTGTGTACTCAGCTAAGTTTGCATCTGTAGGTGTGTACTTATAAGTATGCATCTGTAGATGCATACTGAGTACACACTTCAGTTTGTAGAGCAGGGTCCTGAGAGTGCAGGTGCCTTTTGTGAGTTCACCACTACTGTTCTAGCTGCCGCCGCCACGTTGTCCGTCGGGGATGCGTTGCTGGCCACAGTGCAGTACCGGTTTGAGCACAAGGGCGTCGTCTTTCGGCTGTGCAATGACTCCTGGTGCAGCGCTCTGTACGTGTGGGGCGCCAACTCCAATGGGACCCTCAAGTACTTCCAAGACACTGACTGCAACGTCTGGGGCGCGTACTGCTCGTCGTCCATCGAGGTCAGTGTGAATTTTGGACACCAACAACAAACGAAGCGTTAGAAAAGTTTCAGCGTGGTTGCGACGCCAATTGGCTCTCAAAAGAATTCGGTTGAAAGTAGCGGCGTGTCAGGATGCATCGGTTGTCTCTTTTCTATTTAATTTCATTGCATTTGCATTGCATGCAATTGCATTGCAAGTGCGTGCTGCGATAAAAGAGCAAGTGCTATCTTTTTTACTAATTGCTACTGTAGCAGAGATACTATTGGAATTTCTTATCAAGAGAGCTAGAGCTATTAATTTCTGCTTGTTGCCACTTATTTAATAATTTGCAGATCAACCTTAAGTCTCCATGCAAAACCTCTATGCACAATAAAATCAAAATGAAGTCAAAAACTGATTTAAAAAAAAAGGGTAGAAACCTATGCAAGACCTGCCATTTACTTCTTTAATACACTAAATGATATGTACAGTTTGGTTCGAAACCACTGAGAATCCGAACGCTACACGGTAAAAACGGTTACCTGGTTTTTTTCAGGAAGCCTAAGGTAGACACAGGTGATTTTCAGGGAGTTCCTGGGAAAACCAGGAACTATTTTTATCATGGCATGAGTATAGCATCAATCATCAATTAACAGCAAAACGTTCGAACCCGTTTTCATCGCACCAGTTGGTGCAATACTTTTGCAGTGTTCGAGAAGTACGATGTCTTTCCATGCATTGGCGTTGTGCATTTGTACAAATGAACTTTCTGTACGATTCTCGTTCGAAATACCGAGCACTTTCTCCAAAATGCGTACAAACATATTTAGTCGTGCATCTTCTTATTGTTACTCTTCTCCTCTTTTGTTTGACCAGAGCCAAACGGACGGCTGGGAGTACTTCCCCACGAGTGAACTAGCGTTCGTATTGGAGAGGCGTTCAACATCTCTTGCATTGTGGCGGCTGGGTGACATCGAGCACAGCGTTTCTGTACCTGTTACGGCTGACAGCCATCATCTTCGAATCAGGCCGGAAAATTGGATGAAAGACATGCCAGTCACTCTAAACGGTAAGTTTTAAAGGAGTAAAGGAGAAGTGCCATTTCCGTTCAGGAAGCCTGATTTTGTCTCATCCGAGAGAAGTGCGTTGAATTGTTATCCTGGTGTCTGTCCTAACACTCTGGGACCATTTCAAGGTGAACGTCGGCATTACAAGAATTCAGGCATTTCACAGCAATAAAAAGTAGGCATAAACTCTTGTAATGCTGACCTTCACCTCGAAATGGATCCAAATTGTCAGAACAGACACTAGGATAACATTTTAATGCACGGTACCAATAACGGTCCCATTTAGTCAATTTTTCGGGGCACACTTCAAGAAAACTTTTAGAGTTTTTTTTTTTTGCAATATCTCAGGTGTTTATGGATTGCCACCCAATATTTAGCTGACAGTTAAAGTACCCCTTACGTTAGGGTCCTTTGATGCCGATATGGTCAAAAAGTAAGATGGTGTATTTTTGAAATTAAAAAGCGGCGTATTTTTTTATATTTTTTTAACGTTCTTTTTGGCAAAGGTTGGGATCCCAAACTTGTTTCTCACTGTATCATGTTGCCATTTACTGTTTTCAACACATTTGAGCGCCTAAAGACACAGTTTTAGAAAATTTCTAAAAAGTTTTGAAATATTATTGGAAATTTCAAAATATTTCTTATTAAAAAAGTTATAGGAGTGTTTCTTGGGTGGTAGGCTACGATAGAATAAATTGGGAGCTGGATCTGAGCAAATACGTTTTGGACCTCGATGGTTTGATGTGGAATGCCCCAACTATTAGCACTATCCGCTATCAGCAAGAAATTTGCGACTGTCCTCCGCCAGACTCACGGTAACTTTTCTGTGGTTACGACTTTAAGGGGGCAGTAGCACTCAGCGCCTTACAAAAGCACTTCATCAGTTTTTTTTTGTTAGTTGAAGACAAAGACACGTGTTTCCGATGGTTCCCGTGGTTCTTTCATGACTCTTTTGCAATGGATCAAATAACTGTATTTCAAGCAGGGATCCTTAACTTACCTCATAAGGGCATCATAACGTTATCATAAGAGTTAAAGTTACTACCCTTAACTTCTAACATCTTTTCAAAAGGGTAGGTTATTTTTTTATGTCTCGAATTTGTGTGGATATACTTCTGCAAGTACTTTCATAAGTCCGTACCCTTAACCTTTAGCGAACATTGTTTTATGTTACGTTATGAAAGCAGTGTTAGTTAAATATTAAGTTAAGTTAAGGATCCCTGATTTCAAGTCTATCCATTGTCCACATTTCCTTGACATATGGTCTAAATAATCAACCAATGTCACTGCGCGCAGATTTTTTTTTGTTCTTGTCGCTATTGTTGGGGTTAGTATCTGCTTGATATCACTTCTCTACAAAACGAATGCGTCTGCTTCGCAGTCTCGTTTACGACCGTGACCGCCCCTCCATCGACGGGGCGTACGTCAACGTCGTCAGGCATGACAACACCGATCTCGTCAACGCCCAGTCCATCAGCAGCGAACTTCGCGCACATTGGTTTTCCTTTCGTGGCATTAGCATCTCTTCTACTGCTATTTGGTCGCTGAAAACGGAGACTTTGCCGAAAACACTAAATGTTTCGGTCGAATTTTTTTCGTGTACTGTAACTTGTACGATTTTGTGGATACGTGGTTTTTATGGGTAAAAATGTTTTAATTAAAGCACAATTTTATGCACAATGGTGCGCAGGTTTAAATTAATGCATCAGCACAAACACGTAAAAAGTTGTACATTAACATTTAGTGTGTGGGTTCCCGCATCATCATTCTGTTTTGTACGTTACTCTGTGCTGGCAGATATTCAATAAAACTACAGGAAAAGTGGAGGAACTAATCGATAACCTTGGCTCGTACTGTTACATTTTGCGGAGTTCTTGCATAACTGCTCGTGTTCTTCCATTCGATCTGAAATGTTGGTGGGACCCGGTCTGGCTGAACGGTCTGAAACGTCCATAATTTTCCAGTTCCTTTTTAAAACGCCTGTGAATGGCGTCGTTTTTTGTGTTTCCTGGTTTGAGCATCAGTTATACGACTCCGTGCCGCGGACTCGCTGATGCACGCCATGGCTTTACTTTATCTTGACGATCGAGGGTAGCAAAAAGTTGCTGTACATCAGAATCGCGGCGGATACTCTATCCAGTTTTCACTCGGCCGGACTTCAGACAATGCTTTGTGAATGTGTAAAATGTAAAGGTGAGTTTGCCGTGTCCGTTAGATGGAAGGAGCCAGAAACTTATACAACTCTGTACACACCAAATGACTATGTTGTTTTTTTTGCAAGAGCTTTGCACAAAATTGTGCATGCGTCGTAAAATGCACGAACTAGTGTGCAACTAAGCAGGAAAGTGTGCGTTGCTGCGTTCGTATTCGTGCGTTTCGCGCGTATGCTCAATTCTGTGCAAAAGCTACGCACAAAAAAGTACGTAGTAAGTTAGTCTGTACTTCTATTAGGGTTGTTCATTATCTGAGTCGCTATCGAAGATTGAGTCCCGTGTCTGCTCCTGACGCGGCCCCCTTGTCCCGTAGGTAAACTTTGTCTCAATTTTCTCATATATTTTGTCAATAGTGTACTGCACTGAGAATGAAAAAGTCTTGATATCCAATTTTGGGTGAGGTATACTTTGTGACCCAAATATGAGTGAGGAAGGGTGTATCAGCTACCTAAATGGCTCCCTAGTATAAGGCCCACATTTGGGCGAGGAAACCTTCATAAAGGGAACATTCATTCTCAGTGTGATGAGTTGCCCTTCTGTTTGGCACAGTTGTGCTCCATTCCGGGAGATGGCATTTGTCTCTGGCCGCGGTAGGTCTCCTCGGCGCTGCGTTCGCCCTTCTCGGGCGCGCGGATGGGCAGCAACTGGCGGTAAAGCGCTCTCCCTGACCAGCGCACCCTAAGTCACAAGTAGATATGCTACGTTGTTGCACGAAAACAATTCAACTCCATTGCTCGTTGGTGGCAGAAGCATCAAGTTTGCTTACATATATAGTGCACCTTTTTCGACGAAAAGATAAATTGATGTCCGACTAAAAAAAGACACTCTCATTCGAAGAACGTGACATCGCGTTGAAACGAATGTGACAAAATGTCACGTTCCTTTGAGCATTGTGTCACATTCGTTTGAATGTGAATAAGCTAACGCATGGCTGATTCACATCCAAAGAATGTGCGCACAATGCTCAAAGGAACGTGACATTTTGTCACATTCGTTTCCACGTTTTCCTAGAACAAACGTGAGAATGCTATCCCAGTCCCAAAAAACCATGGATTGCATGGGATCCCATGACACAGATTCCATGAAAGCGCATTGAAATCCCATGAGACCGTGGTTCCGCACCATGGACGAGCGGCATGCCATGCAAAATTGAGGTCGTTTCCCATGGCGCAGGCCTTGCACCATGGGAGGACCTCCCCCATGATGTGAACTTTTCCATGGGTTGGGACTTCCCATGGGAAGGCAGTCCTGCTCGTACGTTGAAGTCTCCGCCTTATTTTCAATTATAGATCATATCATGTCAACAGTGCCCTCCAGACAAAATATGATTGCAAAATCGGATGAAGCGTCAAAAGTTTAAGGCGTGACAGTTCAATAGTTTCACAACTTTAACCAGGTCAGGCACCGTTCGCATCATTTGTACTCGCAAGGGACTCTGCCAAGGCAAGAAAGTGCTTCCCATGACTTACACTGCATGGTACCTTCCCCCATGGGTCTCAAGACACCATGAGAAGTTGTTCCAAAAATCACGGGGAATCGTTCCCATGGAAATAATGGACCCATGGCATCCCATGCACCGCCATAGCTCATGGGATGGCCCATGTTTTTTTTTTTGGACTGGGTAGAGGTCATACACACTCATTCCAGGAGCGTGACACCGCAGACAAATGTCACAACACGTGACGTTCCTTCGAGAATCCTGTCACATTAATTGGAATGTGAAAATTTATTGCCATAAATTAGCTTCTTCATATTCCAACGAATGTGATCTTAAATAGTTCTGCTGTAATGAACAGGGGCCCTACAACGTTGACGTAGAACATGTGGAGTGTTGTCCGGCGGCGGTTCTGGACCGCCCGTTTTATTGCGCCGTCTCGCATGTTAGAGACCGAGTGGACCTGCGCGCAGTGTTGTGGACAGCGAACTTCACTATGAGTCAGCCCTTTGATGACAATAAGAACGTAAGTGCGACATCTAAACTACAAAGTTTCATCTTGTGATATTGAAGGGGTATTCAATCAGCGAGCTAAGAAGAAATTGCAATTTCTTTGCGACAGTCAATAGATTTTTGTTTTCTCTATTTTTATTGTGTTGTATTTAAACTGAGGTAAAATTCATTGTTAAGCAGGAGATTTTTGGAATCATGTACAAAGGTAAGACCGTAGCGTTTCACTTTCTTTTTCTTCTTTTTTTTTTCTTTAACGAATCTGTCGTCATATTTGACAGAACGGGAATTTTGTCACGTTCGTTTGAATACCGCGGCACATTCGTTTAGACATGAGACACCCGTTTAATCAGGATGTTACATTCATTTTAACGTAGACCAGAGGGTGGCAACTGCTTTTCCAAACCGGGCGTGAGGACATTTTGTTTTACATTAATATCTGCCAAACTAAGCAAGCAAGGTAAAAACTACTAACCTTTTTGATGTCTGCACAAAATTTGACAGGGATTAGGGTACCGTAGAACGGGGTAATATGAGACATGAAGGAAAATAGAGACAAAGCGCACTTTTTTTGGTTTTTGTCGTGTTGCTCTCAAGCGGTTGTTCAGAAGACCATCGGGAATTTTTTTTCGTGATCTAGGAGGCCTTAGCAGATCACGGGAAACGCACGAAGGCAATCAGAGACTCGCCAGGATTATTAAGAACCAAACGAAAATCATCTAAATTCTGACAAGTTTTATAAAGTTCGTAAAAACCTCCCCAGAAACCTCGGTTGGAACTCTGGTTCTCGTCCGAACGAGGTTTAAATCTGTAGACAATCATGTCAACATAATCAGGACAAAATTTGGTTCTGTTATGTCTACTCCCGGGCCGCCTGTTCCAGATGGAATACAATTTTGTAACCTTGCAGGGAAAATAGAGACACCTCTTTTCGTTCGAAACATACACACTAAATGTCATGGGACTTTTTTTGTCCCACAGTTTATGCAATTTTAAGCACATCCGGTGGTGATGCAATTTTGTGTCCGCCAGGCGGGACAAATTGTCTAGTGAAAGTACAAGTTGCAGCTGGCGCCGGACAAAATGTGTCACCAGACGGGAACAAAATTGTATCAGCGTCGGATGTGCTTAAAATTGCATAAACCGTGGGACAAGAAAAAGTCCCATGACATTTAGTGTGTAACGCCAAACATACTCCACTGTTCTTAATTTCAAGCAATAATGATTTTAAAATCAGATTCAGATTCATGGTCATTAACATGCTCTTGATTTTCTTCAGCTGGATCAGGGTTGTTGATGACTGCGTCCTCGATGGAAATCGTTGGAATCTCAATCACATCTGGTTCAGGGAAAAGATTAACATCAGCCACAGAATTCTTGACAGTTTCAGGACGATTGAAGTTCTCCTGGAACACTGCATCCCTGGACTTGATGATTCTATCTCTTGCTGCAGGATCAACAAACTTCCAAGCTTTTGACTCCTCACAGTAACCAACAAAAAGAACTTTCTTCGCTCGTGGATCCAATTTCTTCCTGTTTTCCTTTGGAACATGAATATGAGCAAAGCTTCCAAACACTCTACACTGGTAGAACTCAAGCGTAGTTTTACGCCTTTCTTCAAGCGTAGTAGAACTACGCTCGGCTTCAAGCGTAGTTCTCCATTTCGCCTCTCTCCCGCCTATCTAAATGCATAGGGGAATTTCTTCTCTACGCTTGACGTCAAGCGTAAAGTCTTCAAGCGTAGTTGTATGCTTGAATGAAGCATACAACTACGCTCCAGTTTTACCAGTGTACTCTAAGGTTACTAGTGTCTACAGCCTGACCTGACCATAACTCCTCTGGAATTTGTCCAGAAAGTACTGATGATGGTGAACGGTTCCTCAGATAAACTGCACACTTGACTGCTTCTCCCCAGTACTTGATGTTGATCCTGGAATCCAGCAGAAGACATCTAGTTGTGTTTAGGATTGTCCGATTGACCCTCTCGGCAACGCCATTCTGCTGGGGCGAGTGAGGCACAGACGTCTGGTGAACAATACCTGAAGACTTCAGAAAGGCATCAAAATTGTTATTGACATATTCACCCCCGTTGTCGGTTCTCAGCACTTTGATCTTCTTATCAGTCTGGTTTTCTACTAAGCTCTTGAATTCTTGAAAGTATTGAAAAACTTCAGACTTGCGACAAAGGAGATAACAAAACAACTTTCTACTGTGGTCATCAAGAAACACCAGAACATACTTTCTACCACCATAAGTAGTCACATTCATGGGACCCATCAAGTCAGAGTGAACAAGTTGGAGGGGCTGAGAAGCTCTTGGAGTGTCACTAGAGTGGAAAGGCTTTCTCGCCATTTTCCCTTCGACACAAACTTCACAATTCAATGATGAACCAGCACTAACCTCACACTTTCCTTTCATCAAGCTGAGTTGGGATGATGACAGATGGCCCATTCGTCGATGCAGCAGGGTAACATCTTCCTTGACAACAAACGCAGAATTCTCACTGGCAGCTTCTACGTTGTGTTCCAGAATAAAGAGATTTCCACACTGCGAGAAAAGATCACGGTAAATCCTGTACTGATTACTCCAGACTTCACCGTACTTTTTTAACAGGCAATTCCGTCGTTTTTTTTACAGGCAATACCGTACTTTTTAATACAGGAAACACCGTACTTTTTTTACAGGTAATCCCGTACTTTTTTACCCGGCAATCCCGTACTTTTAATACCTATCAAAAACTGCTATAATTTTGTTTAGTCGGTTGACCCTCTTTTTCCAAGTTCCTGATGTACGCAACTGCTGAAGTCGGACTCCTGGACCCCCCTTCCGACCACTCGTTGGAAAGGTCTTGACGAGACCTATCGAAAGGTGCAATAAAATTTTTCAGTCGGTCGACCCCCTTTTTTCAAGATCCTGATGTGGACAATTCTTGGAAGCGGCCCTTGTTGGGACCAGACCTGGCCCTTCCTACGGCATGGACTGTACGGATGAACGGCAACTACTGTTAAAAGACTACGGAATATTTTGTAAAACAAGTACGGTAAATACTGTAGACTGTACGGTGGATACTGGTTTTTGAAGTACGGTAAAGTTTGGCAAAAAAATTATCCAGGATTTACCGTCATTTTTTCTCAGAGTGCACTTCTCCGGGCCTGCATAATCAATGAGTTATCCTCTGGGTCAGTCACCTTGCAGCACTTCCTCTCAAAAGAGACTGAAAAGCCCTTGTCAGTAAGAGTAGACACAGAAATTAGATTCACGGCAAGGCCTGGAACATATAGAACATTTGTAAGTCTGACAGTATTGCTGAGAGGCACCACTCCAACTCCAGCCACTGGCTCGACGACATCATTGGCTACATTCACAGATTGGCATAAAGGTGTGAAAGAAGAAAACCAGTCTCTATTCACACACATGTGCTTCGTAGCTCCAGAATCTATATACCAGTTACTCTTTGCAGTCGGATCAAAGTGGCCCACCTTGGCAGCCACTAACCTCGGAGAATCAGGCGCCTCACTCACTTCACCATTGTGAGCAGTAATAAGGACCCTTTCGGGACTACTGGCAGCACCATCGTCACTGGAATTATGAACAAAGTTAGCTTTGTTAACATGACCCTTCTCCTTGCCTTCCTTCAATGCTTTCTTGAGTAAAGCACACTTGGGTTTCTTATGTCCTGGCTCTTTACAGTAATAGCAGACAACTTCCTTGCCATGTTTTTATCGGTAGCACCAACCTTACTAGCATCGTTACCATTGCCAACATGACTAGCTTTCTTCTTATGGCCCTTACTCTTGACAAACATAGCACTGTCAGATGATGAAATATCACAGCTTAAAACCTTGTTTCTCACAAAATCAGATGTTAGCTTTTCAGTTCGGCTCTCAATAGCCATCTTCAGAGGTTGATACTCATCAGAGAGACCTAACAGCATAACATACGCCACAATTTCATCAGGAAGGGAACTGTCCTTATCTTGCCTAACAATCTTCTCATGGGTACTGGCAATATCATTCAGATATTCTTCTACAGACTTGAAATTAGCCTGCCTAGCCCCGAAGATTCTTTGGAACAGTTGAAGCTTTCCAACACTATTAGCATTCCCATAGACATTCTTCAGCTTGTCCCAGGCATCCTTAGCCTTTGTTCTACCTTCTACATTCCACAGCATGGGTTGCAATTCGGAAGAAACATTCAAAGCTATTTTAAAGAAGGCTCTATCTTGCTTGTCAGCATCTGTGTCCACATTCTCGCCATCCACGCACTTCCACAAACCCTCATTGACAAGAACTCCCTGCATGATAAACTTCCAGCTCTGGTAGTTGCTAGATCCATGCAATTTCTGACTGTCATTCATAGAAAATGACGAACCCACGACAATGCTGTTCGTGGTTCGATTCTCAGCAGTAGCCATCTTGACACAGGTATTTCAGAACTCACGTAATCTTCTTAACACGTGTTCGCCCTGGGCCCATAACCTGTTCGAGCAGCAGTAATGATGTAGGTCAAGGTCGACTTCAATAACGTAGGCGTGGAGTGGTAGACGAGAATGAGAACGATTTATTACACAGCAGGGGTTTAAATAGACTGTTAAGATTACAAGGCAGAGATTGAAGTTTGAAGTTCGATACAATCGACAGTCAAGCAGAGGGCAACCGGAAGTAGATTACATTCGATATCATTCGATATTACAACATTTTCTGATATTTTGAGACCCCTCGACCTGTTGAATATCTCATTTATTTGAGTCAGCAATCTGATATCCATTTCTTGTTCCCGTTTCTAAACAGATTACATTTTCTTAGAAAGATACCATTAAAAATGCACTAAGAGTTAAGGAGCAAGAGCAAGCCCTTACCTTATTTTCCATGACCTGAAGATCCTCCTCTTGCTTATTTTTAAGTTTCTGCATAACTTCATCAGCCTTATCCACGTGAAAAGCAGATTCTAATTCCTGATTCAGATCTCTAAGTTCCAAGGGGGAAATCACTCATGAAAATGGTCGACCGACTATTACATTTTGAATCATTACAGACAATTACACCTATTACTCAAATTACAGATATTACATCGATATTTCTGCTATTACAGTACCATTACAGTGCAATTACAGTAATTATAGCAATTACAGCAACTAATCATTACGCCCATTTCGAACCTATTACGCAATTACACAGGTATTACCTATCAGTTACAGCTATTACACTACTATTACAAGGCTATTACGCAGCTGAAACGGCCTTGGCAATAGGTTTTAGCCTCCAGAGGGACTATATTTTGTTCCGTGGGCACGGGGTATCGCTAGGTAGTTCAAGTAAAGCAGTGGCCAGCTCAGCTGGTCGCTGTTGTTAGCTGTCTCGGGGGATCTCTCATTGCACTGGTATTTCTAATGTGATAAGTGTCATACAATTTGCTGCGATAAAAAGGCAAGTGTGATTCCTTTAAATTATCGCATCTGTGGCAGCAATAAAAAAATTATCGCATTAAAAATGCAATAAGTCCCTTAGGTTTTGGCCGATCTGGGCCCAGATTATCACAGTTTTGGTGCCATAAAATGATAACAACGCTAATAATGCGATAAATGCGCCAATGCATTACAATAATTATTGCACTTATAATGCAATAACTTTTTCATGGCGCTACTAATGCAATAAAAATGTTATTGCTTTTTAAATAAGTTCATTATTACACTTAGAAAATCAGTGTGCCCCCCCCACCCGACCCCCACCCAATACCTTTTATACCACTTGTAAAAGAAAGACTCGCATGCTGTACACTGTACACTGAGACAACTTTACAAACTACTGGGGGGACAGACAGACAGACAGGAAAAAAATTTCAACCCCACTGGAGTAACAGGCTTCGCTATCGCTCAGCCAAAAAGGCCCTGAAATCCCATGTCTCATCGTGTAACATTCTGATCTTGCAAACGTTGATGCGAGCGTACGGAGAGTCGTATTACAAATCTGAGGCCTCAGAAAATTCGCCAATGTAAAGGCTGTGTAGATGGAGTAGGTCTCCACTCCATCAAAGGTCCCTAAATGGTTGAGGCGCGAAAATGTTTGTTGAAAATACGAAAGCGACCGAAATTTGCCCCCGTGTATCATGACTTAATCTGACCTTAAGATGTCCATGGTGCCAAAACCGAGCCAAAACCATGGCAGAAGTCGTGAGGATTCCGAATCTGGTTTCGGATTTCTGACTCGACTCTCCGTCCGCCCACGAACACGTTTCCAAATAAGTGATTTTGAGCAAACCGCAACAATGCCAAACCTGGATCAGGACCACATTTTGCAACAAATGTGCCTTTGGGCTGCGAAACAACCTTGGTGATTATTGATCAATCGTCCAAAAAAAAAAACCTTAATTCCTGTCAAAATTTGTTCTTATTTAAAAAATGTAAGTAGTTTATTCCTAGCTTGCTTAGGCCTTACAAAGAAAAATCAGTCTAACAAAAGTATTTTGAGCATACATAAGATTACAAAGAAAATATTCTGTAATTTACGAAGTATTTCTTCGTATAAAAAAGTAAATTGGTTTGTACTATGTATGCTCAAAACACTTCGTAAGGTTTTGGTGCTTCCCCCCGGCGATGACGCAATCTTTCCGCGCCCCGTTGCTCGTTGCAGAGCAGGTTCGTGTTCGCGTCCTGGAGCTCCCGCGGCGGCTGGAAGGAGAACGCCATCGTGATGAGGTTCCGGCGCGTGTGCACGACGATGCGCACCTACCTGCCGGGCGTGTGGAGGCACGTCCTGAACCACACCATCGGGCCCGACGGCCCCCTCCAGGAGGACTGCCCCATCCGCACGGTGAGGACCTGACTCCCATACTGCAAGAAAAAGTGTGAATAGTGCAACAAAAGTACAACAAAAACTGTACAATAAAGTACAACAAGGATTCACTGAGAATCCAAACGCTATGTGTAAAGCGTCAATGGATGCAAAAGCGTCGCACATGAAGTGCAATACCTCCCCATTCCCATGCATTAGCATAGGGCATTTTCGGGACGCATCGCACCTAAGGTGCAATATGGCTTTCGCATTGCACGTATGGTGCGATATCTCAGCTGCATCGCACCAGACGTGCTATACTCATAGCGTTTGAAATCTCAGTGATTGTATAAAGAACAAGGTAGGTATACGCCAGACCGCGTCTTGTCGTAGCAGGCTTCGCGATGTCTCGCTGCCTGTTCCTCCAATGCGCACCTGGCGTCCCTACCTTGGCCTGAGGCGCTAGCCTGCCTTCGGCAGGCAATGGCTTGTCCATCGTCGGTTACTCCAAACTTGTTGCATGCTCCGTCCCCCAGACCCCCCCTTCATCCTAGATAGAGTTGCTTCATCTATATGTAACACGATCTTGACCCATGTAACTTTTTAACCTGTCGATGCTGGGGGGGCCTGCCCCACAGACCCCGTTTTCTTCAGGACAGAAATGATCTGCCTGCAGAAAACTCGATTTTTCGCTGTTTCTTAAGTATTTTTCGGCTTTAAAAACTGAACCAGTTGACCAAGGGTAGCGAAATTTTGCGTGTGCCGAGCCAAGACATACCCAAAAAGTGTGCAAAATCTCACCGAGATCGGCCGAGCCGTTCAGGAGGAGTAGTGCACACAGACACACACACAGACAGACAGACATGAAAAGCTTTTCAACCCCACTGGAGTAACAGGCTTCGCCAGCGCTCAGCCAACAACGAGAATTACAAACCACACGAGGCCTGGACACTGCAAACCGTCTCTAGGCGTGTTGGGTCCTCCTAAGTCGAGATGGCTTTTGTGCCAAGTCGAGTAGACAATGAAACGCCCGCTGTACCACTTTTTATAAACAACCACGTATCTTGATCGGAGGTTGTACCTGCCTCGGGTGACAACTCGAGTAGGCAAAATATCCTACTCGACTCGGCGTCGGCCTCGCGACTAGGCTAAATTTCCCTGACTAGGCTAAATGTCCATCTCGACTAGGCTAAATGTCCTTCTCGGCACCCCCCACTGGAGCCCTCTGGTGGGCTAGGGCCAAACTAGGATCCCCCTCCACTCCGCGCCCCCACTGCACCGTGCAGCCGCCAGATCATGCTATGTGCGGTGCGCGTCGCTGTCCC